TTTTTATCTCCTTTTTTGTGAAAAAAACCATATTTACCGAGGTTTTTTAAACATAATTACTGTTGCTTGTTGCATAAAAATGTGTCTATTATCTTTGAACACTTGACAAAAATTTTTTTCATTTGCATAACACTTAGCTAAAGTTGAAAAATATTTTATTTCGAATGCATCACAATTTAAGGTTTTTCGTTGACGAAATGTTCGTGCAAGAAAATCTTGTGTACAATTTTGTATATTAATCATCATTTGTCTTCCCTATTTAAATAAAATATAATACAATAAAAAATATTTCATGAAAAGATCCTTTTCTTTACTGGAGGCGTAAATTTAAGAATAATTTCTTTTGGAAATTGTTGACATAATTCATGTGCCCAAGCTGTAACACTTTCATCATTACAATGATAACGCTCATGAAAACACTTTATAAAATCACAGCCTGTCATTAAATCTTTGGATTTTTCATAACACTCATTGAGTTCTGTAAATTAAAAGATTAAGTTTTGTTATTTTTATAAAGAAATATTTACCTTTCGCATTCATTTTTGATCTTTTTGAACCATTAACAAATATGATGAAGTAGCACAAGAATACAAATACACGAAACATTTTCAACATCAAAATGATGAAAAATACACAAATGAATGCATGTCTTTTATATATCTTTTGTTCTCTCGATGCACGGTTTTGAATTACATCAAGTACAGAGTACAAAAATATTCTATACGTTATGGAACCAATTATGTCATGCAAAAGAAAAAACCAATACAAACCTGGATTCTGCGCATATAGATGCACACGATTTATCTTACTGATTATATCGAGGGTAGGTGCGCAATAGTTAACTGAAGAAAAAGTTCGAGTAGAATGAAAATTAAAGTACTATTTGAAAACTAAGTGCGGTTAAAATAAACTACAGATAAAAGTGTATGTGACTCAATCATGTTGAACCAATACAATGGTGTTCTTGTTTTTATCATAATTTTAGTTCTACCGATAATATTCAATATCTGTCAGAGAAGAATTCATATTTAAGCAGCTATACTTATAATAATATGAAATTTTATTGTTTTAGACTGTTCTTTTAGGTCAAATTCATCCTATGATTAGGATCAGTAAACAGATATCAAAAGAAATATTATTAAATCAATGGATCAACTAAGAATTCGAAAGTAAAAATTAGAAATAATAGTATTATTACGTCGACGGTTTTCTCTCTTTATAAAACTTCATCACTACTTCATAAGAGACTATAAAAGCCGTGTACTAAAAGAAAATATGTGTATCTTCTTATAATACAATTTTTAAATCATTTATTAAACCAAACGATTGGTAAATTAATCAATGACTAACCATCTTTCCGTATAAGAATAAGATCCTTATATGAAAAAACGATTTTTTTCCAATTATAATAAGTTTTGCCAGAATCAGATAATTCAAACACATTCATTTATCTGATGATCTGTTTTTGATTTATATTACATGAAGTTTGGACCGATACCACACAACGATTTATTAAAACCTTCAATCAAACGGAGGTTTACCATCTTCTTTTGTTTTATACTTGTTCCAAGGTTTTTCCTTTGTTTTTCAGGACATATGAAAAACTTCTTACGCTGTGACCTTCCTTGCGTTCTATTTATTTTCATGGTTTTTTTTAGATTTCACATCAATCGATAACACAGGAGAACAAATTAATCAGAACATGTCGTCTAGACCTAATCAAGAGGTCCTTATTAAACATGAATAGATAAGAAATTTCCTTTCTAATGAGTTCTTCTCAATTTCTTTGAATGAAGGATGTCTCGTAACAATAGAAAAAAGAATGTAAATGATATTTCGCATGGTTTTCCATGCGACATTAGACTGATGTTTCCAACACAAACACATCTAGAGCTGTAAGAATCTAAAACTTCATTTTTCTACATATAACTAATGCGAGAATGCAAAAATGAAATACGAGTTAGTACATGTAATTTTTCTAATGTCATCATTTTTTTGATGGATTCAATTTGTATGTGTTCAAATGTGACAAAATATGACTATTTATGATACAATGTACACGATACGATGTTTGCTCTTAGTTTGTCTGCATATTGGCTTTTACAAATTTTTTTCAATTATGATACATGCAGGAGTATTGTGTTGGAATTGTAATGCTGTTCTCTATTGTACAAAAGGATTTTATCTATTCTCTCAGTGATGGTTTCGTTTCAGCACCTCTATGTTGTATTGAAGTATGAAATTAAATACGAAAGGTTGAATACTATTCGACGCAATCAGTGAATATTATAGATAAGATATATAAATAACATCTAAAAACTTCTGGGTACAATTAGAGTTATCAATCATTTTAATATTTCGATCAGTTTTTCTTATGACTAGCAAATAAAAAACAGTACTATACATGTATAATGCACCAATTTCTATAGTCCGATTGCATACATGTATCTTCGCGCTAATTACAACGGAAAAATTGAATATTCTATTTATCGATATATTCAAAGCATGATTCAAAATTGATCAAATAGTTTTTGATTCCGAATAACTTTTCATGGAAACAAGAGAGAAAGCTGCAATTTTCACTGTTGAAAACAGAAGACTTAAGAACATCGATGTATGTAAGAAACATAACGTTTAAAACTGTTTTTAGGAGAGTTTTGAAAAACCAAGATTTCGAGAAAACTGGCGCTTTTGAAGTTTGCATAACAATTAAAATTCAGATTATATCAGTTTTGTTTGGTTTTAGCCTCTCAAAAATCTCACAGTAGCTTTGAACTTTACGTTTCTTATATAATTTAATGCCTTTAAAGTCTCCTCTTTTCAATGATAAAAATCCTAGTTCTCTTTCTTGTTCCAATCGAAAGTTATTCGCAATTAAAAAATATTCTAAAATATTTATACCTATCATACTTGCCATAGGAGATCTTAGCTGGCGATTAGGGTAAAATACTTCGGTAGAGTAAAGAAGGTGATCATGGTAAAAAAATATGTTTTAAAACCCATTCGAGGAAACAGCGGCCCATCTTTGGGCTCTATCTGATGAAAAGCAACTTCGGAACGATAGAATGATCATCTTCAATACAATTCTTCTAAATATGTCAATGAGTATTTGTAAGGAATTTACAAAAAAAAAGAAATATTTAATGTGTTAAAACAAAGGAAAATAATTTAAATTACATAGATTGCATTAATTATTGTTGAGGAAATAAACTGAAAACATTTAAATAAATTTTTTTCGGAGAATTTATTTTATTTGTCATTTTTTCTGTACACGAAAACAGTGACTTCAATTCATGATAGATTTTTTTTCAATCGCAACATGACCGTACTATGAATGGTTATTTTATTTTTCACATGATTTTGATAGAAGTAACACTTGTATCATTTTATATGACGCTTTCACTTATTGAAGAAGTTTCTATATTTAGTTTCTTAGAATGAATTATATGTACGTGTATATTTGTTGTAATCATAAACGTCTTCTTTTCTAGTACAGAGGCGAAAAATAAATTTTATTTAATAATACAATATGGTGTGTACATAAAGGTGCGCGTAGTTAAATTTTTATCTTGATGGTCAAGATCTTTTGACTGACGTAATCATCGAATGTGGTTATTCTTATCGTTTTGGTAGCGGTTTTTGATATCTAAAAGCACTAGATGCATGACGATTCTTTTTCAATTGAATTCAATAGATGTTGCTCTCCACGAAGTCCATGCAGACAAGATTTGTCATAGTCGAGCACAAAAATCACGCTGGTTGTTGATGCTGTAAGAAAGTGTACAAAATAAACTATGTCCATAACGAAAACATATATTAAAAATTTTTCTGCATAGCCTACATTTTCTATGCAAGTATCTTTTGAATTATTTCAGTGGTAACTTCGAATGAACAGTGCATTTGTTCAAAATTAATAGACAATCAGGTTGATACTCTGATATTCATCGTAACATTTTTAACCTCACACTGAAGTCATGTGAACTTTACACTCACAATCCAATCTTCATTTTCTATATTGTAACTCTGACAATATCATCCTAATTATTTGAATATTATGCAGAAAACCTCGTCATTCATCAGGATCGTTATCACTTACTGATCTTCAACGTGTTGTATAATTGCTCAAAAAAAGTATAAAGTTATTTCGACAACATGATTTGTATCTGTTATTTGATGAGAACCAGCAAAAGAAAAATTGATCAATCCAACAAATGAATTAACTGCAAGCGAAACTGTTGTTATTATTTTTCGGATAATGAAACATTCATGTTATGAAACTTGTATTCTATCATTTCAACGTATTCCTCATGTACAACGACAAATGACAGCTGATGAATAAATTGAACGTGAACAAGCGACACTTCGTTCTGTTGGATTTTAAGGATTAATTCATGAGCATTATGGTATAATGTCAACAGAACTGTTATTATTGATATATGGTCAAGTGAATACTATAGAAAAGAAACAGAATGTACACATCTATTAGCAAGATCTTTATATTTTATACGAGTAGATCCAATAGATAATGGATATGTAAGCATCCAATTGGGGTGTGGGTGTGGGTGTAGCTATGGATGTGCGTGGGCGTGTATATGTTGGTGTAGGTATGGGCGTGGTTGTGAGTGTCAGTGTGTGTATAGATGTGGGTATGGGTGTGATTGTAGATGTGGTTATGGATGTGGTTGTATGGTGGATGTGGGTGCGATTGTCTGGGTGGATGTAGAGTTTATGCATTTCTTTTCCTTAGGAGAAGATAAAGAGTGAGATGGAGATGTACATATTCATAGTGAGTCGTTTCTCCCACATCTCGCGTCATCTCTCCCGCATCTCTGACCACTTCTTTCAAATTTCTTGTCACTTCTTCCTTATCTCTGATCACTTTTTCCACATCTCCCATCACGTCACTTCTCCCGCACCTCTCTCACTTCTCCAGCTTTTCCAATTTTCTGGATATGTGACACGTCTCTCTAATTTTAAGCTTTGTAGTGAAAATTATACGTATGGAACACAATACAAACATCATTCTATTCTTCCTCTCAATTGTATTTCTAATTGATACTCATAAAGATATTCAACCATTAGAAACTATTCCACCTGATAATCCAGGTTTTCATGTCAATAGTAATCCAGGATTATGGCGACAATGTTAATTTATTGATGGTTTTACAACGCGTCAAGATTTAGTTCTTCGTCATTTAACATATGGCAATCAATCAATATTATATTAAGTAGCATTAAGTTAAACGCTTGTACTTTATGGTGACTTAGCTGAACAACAAGCACCAAAAAAATGTTTTTGCTTATAGTGAATATGATATAGGCTCTTGCATGACTAGTCTTGAACTTGGTTGTGATTGTCTTGGTTATAGAAAATGTTTTGATAGAAATAACACACATATACTGATCGATAATTGAATAGTTCTTAAGTAATCAAGAGTGACTCAGAATTTCGATAAAATCATATCCAATTTTCATTACTCAAACTTTTTTTTCTATTAAAGATTGATGGTGCAATTCTCTACCCAGATAGATGGCTATGAGACACGAAACTGATACTTCTTCTCCACCATTTTCATTCTTTTTTTTTCTCTTTCTGAAGCGACAGATATATTTAATATCGACAAAGTCAATATTGCGTTTTGTAGCCCTTCGAAAATTCTATTTTTTATTGCTATCTTGAATTATTTTTCCGCTTGCTTCAACTTAAAAAAATCTATTTCTTTTGAAACTTTAGGAGGTCTTTTTTTTTACAAAACTTTGGCATGATATTCAAAAACTCATGCCCTTTTTATCATAATATTGTTCTTGACTATTCATTTTCGTTCTATCGTGCTCAGGCAACGAAGTTGGTTTTTAATCAATTATTTGAATCAGAATGTGCACATGAAAAAAAATTCGACTCTTTGGAAGCTTATATTGCACAATATATCATTATTTTGTGCATCATGAATCTATTCAAGAAAAACTTGCTGCTGCCAAATTAGAAGTTTGCTAGATTCATGTCGAGTAATCTGCCGATCTGCATTTTTGCCGTACCTCTGTAGTTTATACAGTAGTACGACATGTAAATGGATCATACTTTTACTGAATCGACTGTATATGAGCTGTAATCTCATTAGGATGCAGTCGTATTACTAACCGTAGAATTACTGCCAGAGTTCGATCCGTTTGCGTATCTCTCAGCCCAGAAACTAATAAAAATACAGATTAATTTTTCGAAACGAAACTTTGAAAAGTCACCACTTTGGTGTCTTGTAATCTTTTCCACAGAATTTTCAAATATGACATTTTATAGTATAATCTCTTATAAGATATTTTGTATAGAATTGTACTGTAAATCTTTCGGAAACAAGTTCAAATCTGAACAATAAAAATTGAAGAAGATATTATTAAGATTCTAAGAGTGATAGTTATTTTATGCCACCCATTAGATAACATATATTTGAAAAAAATTATTATCGAGACTCGATGAAGCCAACGACAAGTTATTTGAAGTATAGCAACTATTAAAAATTATGAATATGCTTCTTATTTGCATATACTTTCTTTTATAAAATACTTCATGTCTTCTTTATTGCTAGGTCTTTATATTAAGATGTTAGGGTTCCTTTTGAACTTAAATGAACTAATATTCTTTCATCATTGGAAATAGCAATACTGAATATGAAATCTCTTTATGGTCCATTAAGTGCTCTTCAAGTATATATGCACTTAATCATCGACAATTTTTTAAATATTTGTTTTAGCTTAGCTATTGATGGAATTTGAAATACCGCTCGTATGGTCGATATTGAAGCTAATCTAGTATTATAATCAGATTTTTTCTTCTGAAAGCACCATTTAGAACTCCGAAAAGGTCAATGCGATCTTCAGAGACAGGCATCACCCGCTCTACTCTCACACTGGATTAAACACTGGGAAGATCCAGATCAAGCTAAATGTGATCAACATCATAATGCATTTCAAATAAAGAATTTTTTTTCTTGGAACAGAAAAACAAGCACATAGTAATATATGCTTAGAAATAAATGATGTTCATGGAAATTTGAAAATATTTCTGCTTAAATTGATGTTTGTGAACTAACTGGTTATAAATTACATACAGGAGATAATTGTATATCATCGGCTTCAGCAAAAGCAGGGTAGCGTAAAAGAGATAGTTCTGCTAATTATCATCTATGGATAACACGATGTCATAAAAAAACAAATGTTTAGAGGAGACAATAATTCAAATCAAGGGCAAGACGATAATGGTTTATTAAAATATACAGAAAGAAATCGTTTAATTTTGTTGATATAGATATTGTACTTTGGTATACAATACGCGTAATATGTATATCAAGAGAAGAAGATTATCCTATGATGTCTATTGCTACTGTTATTTTTTTCTTAAATGAAATGGATGTTTTGATATGAATTCATCAAATAACATTTCAACGAGGATAAAAAAATCAACTGAGAAATATTACGAAAAAATGATTGATTTTTTTAATAATAAGATATGAATCAATTAACGATTTAGTTTTTTTTTTGTCTTTCTTCATCTATTTTAGTTAGTATCATTATTACAGCAGTTAGTGCATTTTGTTACATAAAGAGAAAAAAACGATCGAGATGAATGCGTACAATGATAATGGTAACAACAGCGACAGCTTCTCTTTTCTTTCTTTTTCTTTCTTTTTCTCCTTCTTTTACGATTGTTTGCTGTGTTGCATGACACAAGATAGAACCTTGTTATTGATGTAATAGGAAAAAAGCAAGAAAAAAAAACGAAGTCTTTGGGACGATGGGGATACAGAAAATGCGGGAAAAGACGGAAGAGCAAGCAAAAAGAACTGAGATGGAAAAGCAAGTATACACTATTTGTGGATGTTATTACGCACAGAACAAGAAGAAAAAGAAAAGGAAAGAAAGAGCGGGAGAGTGCAAAGTCGGAGAAAATTTCTGATAATAATGCCCATATATACTGCTCTAATACAAAGAACGAGAAGAGAAAGACAATCGCGAACACGCGCAAGCTTTCTCATTGAGCAATATGTGACAACAGTGTGTTAACTCACACAGATAGTTTTATATATTAAAAATTTGTCGATTAATGCCATTAGTTCCTTTGTTATGATGATGATTTGTAGGTGGAGTATTAGTATTTTATTCTTAGTTATTTACATTAAATATGGACAAACACAAGAATCAAATTTTCGAGATATTCCAAATGTATCCTTCACAAATCCATCAACATTATTCCCAACGTAAATAATTTTCAAAATAAAAAATATATATATATATATAATTTTTTTTGCTAATTTTTATTTTTGTATTCTTTTAATAGTGCATCACTACTTTCGGCAAAAACCAATCAGTATATTCGTGATCAATTAGTTCTTTTAACTAAACTTTTTTCATCAATATCATTAAGTAGTACAGATCGAGTCATGCGTCAAATATATATGCAATCATTAAATACATTTATTATTGAAAAACGTAATCTAACTGAACTTGTTACGGAAATGGCTAATTATACAAATCGTGCTATTATGAAAAAATTAGAAGCTATTAGAACTTTAGTTAATATAACTGAACAATCATATCGAAGATTTGCTGAAACAGATGAAAAAACTCGAAATGCTACATCTCAATATATGTTGGTTAGTGTTATTTTCTGTATATTTTGACAAAAAAATAAATAAATAAATGAATCAATATTTTTTTCTGTATAGCAACATGGTTATTTAAGTTCAAAGGATGTTATTACTGTAACAATAAATAGTACATATGAAAATGCTTCACTTACAACAACAACAGAAGCATCAATAAATGATGATACAGATAAAATAGTAACAAGTGGAACATCGACACAATCAACAACTACAAATAAAAATGAAGCTTCATCAAGTGAAACACCCAATGAACATGGAAATGATGAAGAGTAAAATACAAAAAAAAAATTTTTTTTAAATTAATTCTTTTTATTTTTATTTTTTAGTGTATTAAAAAAGAAATTATTTATTCAATCCAAAAAACATTTTGGTGGTGCTTTTGTTAATATAACACATAGCACAGTACATGTGCCAACAATTATTTATTCATTAAGTAAGGTCAAAGAAAAAAGAAAAGGTAAAACAAAAAAAGGAACTTTTTTTTTCTTCAGATCAAGAAATTCTCTTAACTGCTAATTGGTCTTATAATCTTAATCAAGCATTTATTGATAATTATAATCATGATCCTGAATTAACATGGCAATATTTTTGTAGTCAAACAGGTCTCTATCGTGTATGGCCAGGTCATATATGGGATTATCCGGAAGGTGATACAGACAAATTAGATTTATTTGATTGTCGTGTACAAAATTGGTATATTCGAGCAACATCATCACCACGTGATGTTATTATTTTAATAGATGCAAGTGGTTCAATGACTGGTTTAAAAAGATCTATTGCTATACAAACAGTTGAAACCATACTTGATACTTTATCTGATGATGATTTTGTACAAATAATAAAAGTATTATTTAAAAAAAAAGTGTTTTCGAATTCATTTCATTATTTTAATTTTTTTCAGTTTCAAGACAGTGCAGACTATATTGATGATTGTTTTCAAAGTGGACTTGTTCAAGCAACAGTTGAAAATCGACATGTATTTGAAAAATGTTTCGTTTTGATGATTAATAGTTTTTTTTTCTTTTCGATTTAGAAATTTCGTACATCAGTTAATAAGCGTATTACAACAAATAATGTTGCAAATTTTTCTAAAGCACTTACTAAAGCATTCGATTTATTAGATAAAGCACGTGAAAATATATCTCGAACAGAAAATGCAAGATTAATATGTCAATGTCATTATTTATCAACTGATAATCAAACAGGAGCACAACGTGAAGCATTTTGTCCATCAGATTCAAATGGTTTGAATAGAATTCTTGTTTTTTTTTATTGTTCATTATTAAAATAATGAGCATAAATATTTTCTAGCAAAAAGTTATGCAGAAGATGAACCAAAATTTTTGGATAGTACTGGTTGTAATAAAATGATAATGATTGTTACTGATGGAGCAACTGAAACAGCTTTAAATGTTTTTCAAACTCGTAATTGGCATCCAAATAATGTCTCGACATGTCATCCAATTGAAGTAAACATTAAAGAAATGTTAAATTATTCTTTGTTTTATTTAAATTTAATTGATGTTTTGTTTTTCAGACAAGAGTATTTACTTATATGATTGGAAGAGAATTAGGAGATCCAAAACATATTAAATGGATGTCATGTGCTAATAAAGGTATTAATATTCAATGGATTTTTCTTTATAAGAATTAAATTTTAGAAAATGTGATAGAAAGATGAATGACTTTTTGGTAGCATCGTACGATCCGAACAAAAAAATCATTATGAATTTTCCTAATACTCTAGAGAATGAGCGAACAAAGAAAAAAGAGCGATTTCTATTGCTTGCAATCATTAGATATTACTGTAATGCATTACTAGTATGAAAAGCAATTTATAAGTGGTTAGAAATTTCCGGAGATCGCCGGAATCTATTAGAAATCATTGAAAAATCTCTAAAGATCGCCAGTAATAAAATAAAAACTTTAGTATTGACTTTTCCGTATTTTTAACAATTTCTATTGATCTTCATAAGAAGAAATCAATGGATGATATTGCGAGTCAGTTTAGGATCAAAATTAATATAAAAATTTGTCAAAACTTGGAATTAAAAATGATTGGTCTCGCATAGCTTTATTGTGAACTGTATAACTTACAAGGAAAGCCCTCCAGCTGATAAATCATATGTGAATCGAAACAATGTGCATTCAAATGAGCCATGAATACCTTAAAAAGAGTTTATGCCCGTAGCTTATTATTATAACAATACTGCACTTTTACGCTATTTTTGAAGTGAATGTCGTAGTAACAGAAAAACTAATTTTCGAATTTCAACTTAAAACTTTACATTAAAAGAAGTTCTTAACAAGAATAGTTCATTGTGAAAATATTGGATCTTTTGATTTACTTCTATCCGGAAATAAGAACATCAAAGCTACCGATTTGTATGATTAATATAAAATATATACTATTACCATAGTTATATCTTAAAACAGGAACACCGACAAGATCTGAAACATTCGTAAAAACTATTCTTCTTAAAGATTGTCTCTATGTCTATGTGATAGCTATTGTCGGTCGTTTTTGAAAGTCTTATATCATGGTATATTATATTGAAACGTGTGAATATTTTTAAGATCTATTAAAGCTAACAGAACTAAGATGTTTTTCAATGGGCTTGAATAATGTTGATGTGACTGAGCCGTCTGTACTTGACATGGAGACCTAATCATCTTCGTTATGAAATAATTTAATATTAGGGATTGTACTGCAAAAAATTTTATTACTAGAATATATCCTGAAACTATTTTCTTTTAGGTTAATTCGAACTCTTTCTGATAAATAATTTACATTTGAGTAGCAAAAAACCTGCAACCGTTTATACCTAGAACGAAAAGTTGTAAGCATTATCGCCAATGGTGTGAACAAGAATGAGACATGAGTAATTTTAGATTAAAATTCAAAAATCAACTTTTTTCATGTGCTTGAGAAGGACTACAGCATTTATTTAAAAATTGTGAACGATTAATGTTAAAATAAATTTTATTTTTTCTGTACTTAGAAGATCTTTCTGAACTGTTTTAAAAGAACTATTCGATTTCAAAAATAATATTTCTTTTATCTTTAGGTTATTATGCACATGTATCAACTTTAGAAGATATTCAAGAAAATGTTGAAGATTATATTCCTGTAACAGCACGTCCAATAGCAATGTATAATGATCATGTCACTGTATGGAGTAGTGTTTTTCTTGATGTTGAAAGAACATTACCAATAAAAACATATAAATGGTTTCCATTTAAACTAACTGATTTATCAATGTCAATGGATGAATTTAAAAATAAATCAAAAGTAAATGAATATTTTTTTAAATAAATTAGAAAAACAAAAATTGAATTGTTTAATATTTAATTAAAGCCTGTTCATTTGATGATTTCAATTGCTCAACCTGTTCTTAATCCACCACAAAATGTATGTTAAATAAAATAGAGTTATATGTTTGAAAATATTCTATATGAAATTTATTTAGAAAAAAGATATGACAATTTTATTGGGTGCTGTTGGTGTTGATATTCCAGTTAAACTTTTACAAGAATTTTCACCGAAATATCGAGTATATCTTATGAGAAATATTTTTTTTTAGAAAAAAAATTGAAAAAATTTTAATTATAGCTTGGTGTACATGCTTATTCATTTATGATTAATCATAATGGTTATTTAATGTTTCATCCTGATTTACGACCTGTGGTATGTCTAGTTATATTAATCATTATCATGAGAAAGAGACAATTGCTTGTTACCATAGTCAGCGTTGTTTCCATCACAGATAAAAATTCTACGTCAAACGACATTAATTTACCTGATTCATACAGTATTTTTTGGATAATCCATACATGAGAGTTAATCAGAGTCGTCGAAAAACGGCTGATATCTCAGACTAATTTTAACCATTAGGCAAATGAGTATTGTGCTCTAAGCAACTTTTCCTGAAAAATTTTATGATTGTAGTCATTGAGGAAAAAAAATCTAGAGTTAGACTGTTCCAGACAATGATGGTTCCTCCAGGCCTAAAAATTATAACGAATTGAAATATCCTATTTGTGACACAATATAGACATGCAAATCTTTTTTTTATTAATAAAAGAAAATAGAGGTTAGAACATGTAAATAGTGAAAAATCAGAAAAAATGTCAAAAAGTCTTTTTTGAACCCTAGGAAAAATAACCATGCTTTCATTGGCAATTTTTCGCATGAAAGTATGTCGACTTGTAGTTAACATTTCAGACAAAATGATTGAATTCAATATACTTTTTTACCCGGTAGCGGAATTTCTTGCGGCTACTATTTATATTAGTCACACAAATTAATAGAATGAGTTTACAGAAAAGCAATTATGTCTATTGTTCGATCAAATACCTCTTAAATCAGGTGTTTATATACCTAATTGGCTGAAAGAAATGACACAAAAATATGAACACTCTAGAAAATGTGTATATCATGAGTGACTAGAGTGTGGATGAAGAGCGAGTAAATGTCCTAGACTCATTGTCATATTATCAAGATTTTTATTTCTCTCGATGAATTTATTTCCGCTGTTGATAGTTTTCTGTCAATCAACAACTTATTTTATGTCAGATGAGGATGGAATTAACCTTAAAGAAAATTATCTTATTATTTCATCAAAGTCCTATAATTGTCAAATTTTGCTAAAGAATGATTACATTTAGAAGAAAACATGTGTTAGTTAATTTTCGATTTGTAAACTCCTTAATTTTTTTAATATTTGCTGCAGATAACGAAGTATTTCATGATTCAATAAATATCTTATCTAGACCTTGCCAAACAGAACAATATGTCAAACTTCAATGAAAGTAAAGCTTAATACTGAACAACTCAGGAAATAACTTCCGATATTATTATATTTTTTTATTTCTAATTGACTACTATAAATAGAATGAATTGACATATTACTATTGTAATTTTTTCATATGATAAATGACTTCAGTTATTTTTTTGTTAATATATTCTTTGACTTTTATTATTTATTAAATTAAATTTTTGTATAGTTGGGTTTATATCGTAAACAAAATTATCATTCAATTGACTTGGATATGGTTGAAATTCCTGATAATTTAATGCGTTTTGTACATGTAAGTTTCTTGAAATTTTTTCACAATCAGTTATATATATATAAATATACATTTCTTTTTTCTAGCCTTTACCACCTAGTAAAATTCAACAAGTAGAAATAAATAACATTTTATTGAAATTTATAATACAATATCATATATTTATAGATACGAAGAGATATGATACTATCAAAAGAAAATAAAAGATCAGCTCGAGTTAAAAAACATTTTGATGATATGGTTAATATGATGATTTATGATATAAAGAATTTGTTTTCTTTTTGTTTTCTTTTCCTAGAGAAGAGTTGAAGAAGTTGAACAAAGATATTATTATGCAACATTAGGAGATAAAGAATCAAATCCATTTAGGTATCAAAATTAATTAACATAAACATTTTTTTAAATATAATTATTTATTTAGTTTGGGTATAGCTGTACGTTTTCCTTATGGTGAATATGAAATTCAAACAACAGAACCTGAAACTGAAAAAGTTCAAATAGGTTCAATAGAGAAATTCTTTTTTTTTTGATTTTTTTAAATCAAAACTTCTTGTTTCTTAGCTCTTCGTTTTATTCGTCAACGAAATGTTCGTATTGCTGATTGGATTTATTGTAATTCTACAGCTGAAGATAATATTGGTGATACTGAAGAATCATTTCGTGGTTATCTTAAAGAAAAAATTGAAATAAAACAACTTGTTTCATGTATGTATTTTCTTTTTTTTTCTGTTTGTGGAACTCACATCTATTTTTTTGAGTGTAAATCTTAAGACGAACTTTTGCAGTCTTTACTCCATTAGAAGCCTTAATTACTGAGAACAATAGTCGTAAAACTTCTTTTTAGAGTTACTTAGCGATGAAAAAAAGGGTTGAACGGTATTGATGACAAGACTTAGACTGTTTTAAAATATTGCAAAATCTTCTTCGACATTTGAATGGCTGAAATATGTTTGCCAATGTTCTGAATAGTGTTATTTTTTATGTTTGTACAAGAAAAAGTCTTTACCTACTCTTTTTTCGCAAATCAAAAGCTTTTTGCTAATACCAAAGATTATGTCGGTGAGGACATATGCATCAGACTAATTCATTAAGTCAAAATTTGTCATAATATCCTTATTATATTTTCTCAACTCACTTTGGTATTTTGTCATGCTATTAGAATAGAATCGAGTAATCGTTTTAAGATTGTAGTTTTTCATAGATTTTTTTTTTGTATTATCTACTCTTTATCGCACATATTTCTCATAAATATAAGAGATAACAAAACGAACGTAGTGCGACTGGTAGATTAAGTATAGAATCAGTAAATAGTGCCGATGTATAAAGACTTCTTAATGAAACCACAACATTCTTGCAGAATTTGTAGTCTTATGAAATTTCCTGTTCACTAATAGATGTTAAGAAAGAGAAAATATGTGGAAATAAATAGTGTAAAGCCCTGTGACTATACTATAGTAATGACGAGGAAGATAAGACTAATTCAATAGTTGATGTGGCTATTATAGTGAGAAAAAAGAAGAATGACTCATGTGGGTCCGGTCAAACCGGTTAGATCGGTACTCGTCTTGGTCAGACGAAAACTCTATTGGTTCCAACTCTGATGCATTGATATGCTACCGTTGTCCTCTGATCGACATAAAAAGAATTCATGATGCCAACATCCATACTCACAACCTGGTAAACTTTACTAGAGCTCATTGGGTTCAAAAATTTCAGGCTCGAACCCGATGGGCTCTAGTCCCCAGTGATTCTATTGATACAGATTAATAAAAACTGAATTACAATATAATAGTGCGTTGAGACTTGCTATATATGTATTACAGTAGGCTTGTTTGCCAGTTAAATCAATGGTTCACATAATAGTAATAATGTTGAATTACGAAAATGGAAAAACAAAGAGCGAATAACGACAAAGCAAACACAAAAAAATACATTTCTTGTTTGAAATGTAGGAATAAATAAGACGAATTGGTTCTCTGACGATTCATTATTCTTAAAAAAACAATTATTGTCTGCGAGAGATTTTTCACTTGACTTATTTTTGTATTAGTATAATAAGACTAAAGAAAACATGTGAGTTCTACATTTTCGCTTCAACAAGACAGTGCAAATAAGTTGCTTTTTTTTGTTAATAATAAATTTCTTTCAGGTCCATATAAAGCAAGTAAACAATTAATTTATATGATGATTGAAGAATTATATATCATGAGTAAATTTGAAAATTGGACTAAAACTGGTATAACTGGTCTCGAAAATCCAAATCCATTGGATAATCCAGCACATATGGACTTTAAAGAATATCAACATGAAAATCATTTACATTGGATATTTTTAGCAACACGTTCAGGTATAACTGCTTATTGGCAATTATATAATTTAGCTAATGAAGAACATATTCGGTAAGTAAAACAAAAACAAAAGTTAAATTTCTAAAATAGATAATTTAATAATTGTTTTAGACAATTCGGTGATGCAAATCCAAATTCAATTGAAGCTAGTTATTATGAAAGAACAATTAATGCAACATATATGTATGGAGCTGATCATATTGAGGGTGATCATCATATTTATTCGCTTTTCTATGGCATATCAAATGTACAAGTAACAAATCCACGTATGTAAAAGTTTTGAATTTTGTTATTTTCGAAGGACTTTTTTTTTATTATTTTTAATTCTTTTATCTAAAAAAAATCTAAATCTATTACTTAGAAATGCCTTTTGAAAATCATACAAATTCAACAGGTATTGGTTTTATTGTGTATATTAGCTATTAATGATAGTTATTGTATTTAGTTTTTTAATTATAACATTTAAAAAAAAATAACGAATTTTATTGAATTTTATTTATAAAGCATTGTTTTTGTTTTTCATTATCATAGAAGGAAATGTTGGTAGTACAACAACAACTACAACAACGACAAAATCACAAATGTATTTAGTTATAACAACAGCGATTTGGATGAATAAAACATCAAATAAACCATCAAAGAGAACTAAAGAAAGTGCACAAAATGTTCCGTTTGGAGTTTTTGGAATTATGCTACCATATAAAAATGTGAAATCAAGACATTTTTCGAATCTTTGTGTAAAAATTTCAAAAAGAATTTTACTTTTAAAAATTATTCATGAAATAATTTTAGGCAAAAATGGATACAGGAATATGTTATATTATTGATGAAAATGGTTATATTATGTTTATTAGTCAACCAGAAGGAACTGATAGAACGGTAGATAATAAAAATATAATGTAGTTTTCAATAAATTAGATATTTTCTTTTCAGGAAGATATTGGAAAATTTATAGGTGAATTCGAAGGTCCACTTATGAAAGATTTAGTGGCAAAAAAAGTCTTTTCAGAGTAAGTTACGAAACATTTTTATGATAAATTAATAAACTAGAAGGTGGTCGATAAAAAAGACGATAATAAAAACGTTCAATATCTCAAGTTCAGATACTCAGTTTAAATTTTGAAAAACCTGAATTCATCTAATCTCGGCTTCAGCCAATTTTAATCAATCGAGCGAGTTTTTCTTCTCAGTCATAGTGAAATCATCACCAGTCTAAAGTATCTTCTGGTTGTCGTAGCTGTTCTTAAAGCTAAACATCTGAAAATTTTGGTACATGTACTATACTATAAATGCAGGACAACGAAATCAGTTAGATCCTGATCACTTAAATCGAAGAAGAGTTATGACAGGTTTTCTCACTATGAGTTGTAGAAGTCAACCAGGAAAGGAACTTATGAGTTGAGCAATCTATCATTATGAAAATATCTGTGGCTTTTATTAAATGCCTAAATGAAGCTGAGTTGAATTAATAGTATAAATAGGCCTATTAAAGAACTGCATATTGATAGATTCGTCAAGTCGTCAAAAATTTCACACGTCTTGCTTTAAGAATGGTTGAGATAGTTTTTGACAATAGTGCTGACTTTACACAGTATCTTTTAGATAGGTTCTTCATGAATAAAAATTTTAATGAGTCGTCCAACAATATCAGCTCGATTGATTAGAACAGGTTAAAGATGCTGAATTTTTTTATTGTCTGGTTATTTATGAATTACCCTGTATTTAATCGTAATGCAATCTATTGGGATTTATTTAAACTTGCTCCTAGAGTTACTCAGTTTCTTGTCAATTCAGTTGTTGTATTCTATTTAAATTTAAATTATATATGAAATACAATCATAATTTAATATAGTATAATTCTATTACTGAATAAAACAATTTATTGTTTCATTTCATGGACGTTAGCTTCTATGTTATAATTAGACTTTATTGAACATGTTTATTGTGTTCATCTTGACCAATAATCCATTAAACTAGTCTATTCTTTAACAGACAAATTACTATCAATTTTTATCCGTATTGATCTTAAGTTTTTTCAAGTTGGACACTACACTGAAATAATCTTTGTTTTTTTTTCATGAATTTTTATCTGGATCTTGTCTCTATCAAGTGTATATCTTTGCTTTACAACATCAGATAAAATAGAAACAAATTTCTTTTCTTTCTTGATTGATACACAGATTCTTTTAAATACACTTATAATCAGAAGTTTTGATAACAGATTAACTCTACTTAAATTCTAATAATTTCTCTACATTTAAAACTTAAATTGCAAGTATCATATTCTCGCATATGGATTTTTATCAATCTTTTTCATTCGAATATTAAAATTTCATAACTATTAAAATCTACCTGTTCAGCGGACAGACTTCAAAATTACATGAAACAACTTTCTTGGAATATTTGTTAGAAAATTTTTGTTCATGTCATTAGTCTATATTGGAAAAGAATGTTGTACCATGGATAGAAATGTGCGGAACTCAGACTACGAGAAAATAAGTTATTCCGCCCGGATCTAAACCTTTTGTTAAATACTCATTGGTTTTACGCGAATTGCCTTATAAATCAGAACATAATTCAAGAGTGATAACCCAAAAAAGTGCTAATAATTCATCAACTAAATAAATTATAAGATGAATATTGAAGAATTTTTTTTAGATGTCATACGAATAAATTGGGGGATAATTTTCTCTAGATCGAAGTCATAAAAGCTCGCTTCTGCACATCTCTAATCATGGAACCGCCCGTAAAATGTAACTATATATTAAAATAACACAGCAATCGTTTCATAATTTTAATGTGTCTGAGCAAAACAACAGTTAGAAACGGAAATTGTAGGAAACTATTGGCGTTTAACTAATATTGTGATATTTTTTTTGTTGGATTTGTAAAAACAACTGACTAACATAAACATGACCCTAAAATGTTTATTCCACAGTTCAAAAGAAAAAAATATGTATTTTTTTTTAGAGTGAAAATGGTTGATTTTCAAGGTGTTTGTTTACAACGTAAATTACCATTTGAAAAAAGTTCAGGTGGTCTCTTTCGTGGTGTATGTATAAAATAAATATATATTAGTTTATTTTTCTCACATCTAATCATTCTTATTTTTAGATTCTTCAAAAAATTTTCATCATGATATGGAATATTATTAATCATATTGCTATGTATGAAATTTATCTACTTTCATTTAAATTACTTTTAATGTTTTAATTTAAGGATTTTGGTTCGTGATATCGTATATTGGCCACAATGGACTTATGCAGCAAAAAAAGCCAATATTGCTAATCAAAATTCAACAGTCGATGAACCCCCACCAAAGACTCATGTTCGAGAAAGTCTTAGTAATATACTCTTAACACATATCGATTTTCGTCGTCCAATATTAGAACATAAAGGATTTAATATAACAAAAGATGATGATACTATTGAAAAAATACCTGAATCATGTATTGAAGAATTTAATTTATATGTATCAACATGGAAAGGTTGGCAAGGACCATTACCATCATCAGATAATTCTATAACATGGGAACAAGTTGAACGTGAAAATTCTGTATATGGTACAATTAGTTGTACACCTGTTAGAAATGAAACACAAGAAAATCTTGATGATTTATATGGAAATCAGTCAAATGGAACAAACTTTTCAACAACAATTCCAACAACACCACCTTTACCCACCGCTGAATCATTTAGGTAAAAAAATTTTTGAAGAAAAAAAGTCTAAATCAATGAAATGATTCTTTTCTTTTAAAGTTATTCAATATCAAAAATTCCTAAAAGTAATTTAATGATGATTTATATCAATCATCCAAAAGAAAAATTACAATTGTGTCCAAAATTTATCATAAAACGTAGACCTGTGGAATTTACACCAGACGAATGGTGTACACGTTTAAAAACAACACCATTTCGTGAACGACCACAAAAATGTTATTTTGTACATGACGGAGAAAATAAAACATTATTTTCAAAATGTTCAAATGCTATTCGATTGACAAATCATAAATTATTTAGCAACATTATTTGGATTTTTATTCTATCGTTTCATTATATAAGAAATTGAAAGAAAAATAATTTGGCGCTGGCAGCCCGGTGTGCGTGTGTGTGTTTGTTTTTCTTTGAAATTCAAAATATCGTGCATCTGTACAAGTTATGTTTCCTGTTTGTTTGTTTCTCTGTTTTTTAAGAAATTTTCCTTTTTAATAGAATTCTCATAATCAATAAAATATTTTATCTAAAGCAGGGTTAGTTTTTATATCACAATTCATATGCTTTTTTTACATTCAAAAACAGAAAAAAGTCTAAATAAAAATCGAATTGCATGGTAACAGTCTAACTTAATTGCTTCTCAATAGTTATACATGGTTGATAACAGGTATTTCAATATGACGAAAACTCAAGTAGTTAATAGAATTTTTCTAAATGCTCAGTATTTCCTTTTTTTTTGATCACTAAGACAATGGCGTAATCAGACTGGGTACTAGAAGAGTTTTGAGTATCGATAGAAACCATTGAATTGCACTTTGACGGAAGCTTGAAACCTCTCTAGACTAGAACCTATTGAATACAAAATGTTCGGACCTCGTTTGTTCAACGTTTTAGAGGCTTGTAACAAGTTAATCGAACTTATTTGAACATGAATCTGGACTCAGATTGGATTGATCAAACTGTTCCGGATTCTCACTCGGCTGACCACACTTTTTCGAATTCGCACCCAGTTGACCAAACGTTGTCGAGCCCTGACGAGATCGAACCGTACTTTGATACTCTCAATGGCATTTTTCAATCGAAATTAGATAGTCTCGCCGAAGATACGAGATACTTTTTTCAATTTTTTGTATTGGGTGACCAGCGCAACCTGCATGTTTTTTCAGACGACTAGAGTTCGTCAAATTTAAAACTTTCGGATCCAAACACAACGAATTACTATCGAAAGCTCGAAAGACACAATTTCGAAAAAGAAATTTTGAACAAAAAAGTCTCGAACTTTCAAATGTAAAAAAAAAGTAAAATTTTGAAATACTAAAGGTCGAATAGAATAGAATTTCGAATAGTTTAAATTCTGCAAATCAAATCTTGAATGAATCGAGAATTTTTAGGATGCAGGTGTGAATGAAGAGAAGATCTACGTCAGCCTATCCAGAGTCACCCCACACCTGAACCTTTGAAACAAGTACGCGATCTTTTTCGATTTACCTTTTCACACTTTTTCTCTTTCGTTACTTAATAGTCATGCATTTTAAAATAAAATGTTAGGTACAAACAACTGTTATTTGATCAACATATCAAAATCATACGCTGCGAACTATTGCAGATTTTTTGTTTCTGATTCAAAATTTATCAATGTAGACATTTTTTTTTCCAAAATTGTTTTTTCGAACTTCTCACATCATACCCACTCGACTAGGTCCGTGAACAACCCGACAACGTCTACTCTACGGACATGATGAGGCGACCGAGCCGGTCTAACAGTTTTCCTGGTTACGCTTCAGCATTAACGTAGCACTATTTCTCATGTATGTATTGCAAAGTTTTCCAATCAATGCAAGTCACATTCAAAGGAAGTCGTGCATTTTTCATGGGCTATTTCCCCCCACTACTTTTTTTTTCTTTTAAATATTTTTTAGTTCGGACTCATGCGAGGATATTAGAACAATCAATCAAATCTTGGATATTTCTAGTTTTGGCCAAAAAAATCATGCTTCAGGGTTAGGATCATTTTCAACAATTATTGACCTTTATA